ACCTCTGGTCTGTTTAATCTCCTCTCAGAATTATACTGTGGTATCCTTAGGAAAAAATAACAAAAAAAAATCAAACCAAAACAGACACACACACACAAAGAAAAAAAAAAAAAAAAGGAAGGGATGAGAAGCTGACCCTGACTAAGGTGTAACAAAAAAATAAAGATGGCCATTGCTGAGGCCTGGCTGTTGCCTTCTATATGCTTACATTAATGAAGCGGTTAGTTAAAGCACATGGAAATATCAAGTCACTCACTTAATATTAGAAAGATAATTTCCTGGACATGGTAAATAACATTATTTTATCTTTCCATAGTTGTATTCCAGGACAGCATACTGTGGTCTATTTAAGACAGCAAATAACCATTTTCTATATTCTGATTAGTACGTGAGCTCTGAGCTTTTCAAAATAACATTAATCATAGAAATCATAGAATGATTTGGGTTGGAATCAAGAATTATCAAGTTCCAATCCTACTGCCACTGGCAGGGTTGTCAACAGATACATTAAGTACTAGATCAGATTGTCCAGGGCCCCATCCAACCTGGCCTTAAACATCTCCAGGGATGGGGCATCCATGGCCTCTCTGATCAACCTGTTCCAGCCCCTCACCACTCTCACAGTAAAAAATTACCTACTGACGTCTAATCTAAATCTTCCCTCCTTTGTTTAAAATCATTCCCCCTTGTCCTACCACTATCTACCCTCATGTTTATAAACTCCCTTTAAATACTGCAAAGCCATGATGAGGTCACACCACATCTTTCTTTTTTCCAGGCTGAATAAGCCCATTTCCTTCAGCCTGTCTTCATAGGAGGGGTGCTCCAGCTCTTTGATCATCTTTGTGGCCATCTGCTGGATCCCTTCCAAAAGTTCCACATCTTTCCTCTGTTGGGGGCCCAGACTTGGACACCATACTCCAGCTGTGTCTCACGAGAGCAGAGCAGAGTGGGACAATCACCTCCCTTGCCCTGCTGGTCACCCCTCTTCTGATGGAACCCAGAATACCATTGGCTTCCATGCTGCAACCACGCACTCCTGGCTCATAGTAAGTTTTCCATCTACCAGGACCCCTAAGTCCTTCTCAGTCCTTCAACTAAGTTGATAAAGAACATAAATAAAGTTTTCTGTATTCATCTACTCTTAATATACACATTCTAAGGAACATCAGTTGCTTAGAAAGATAGCTTATTTGTATTTCATTAGATCCTTTCTTCAATTCTAGGAAAATATATTGAGTTATACCATCTAAAATAATCTGTTTAATAGTTGTACCATAAATGCTTAGCAAGTTCTAGCCAACACTGCAGGAACACAGATGTCTTTTACAGCTAATTCAACTGGAAACTTTGAACAGTTTGCATGCTGTAGCCCTCCTCCTTCCCCCCTTCCTCCCCACCTTCTCTCCCCCTGCTCCCTCCCGCCTCTCTCTCTCCCTCCTTCTCCCCACTGCCTCTCTCCACAGCAAGGCAGAATGAACAGACTTAAGTTGCTGCCAAGGAAGTTGTGTGAATCACACTGTTCCTTAAAATATACAATTGAACTGTTTAAAGCTCCTTTTTAAATGCTACTAGCAAATAACAAGAATCTCTACAGTGTTATGGTAGGCATGAAATCGTTCTGTGAAAGCACTATTCACAGTTACACATACATTTGGCAATTAAATGAGACCATCATAGCCACTAATACACAAAACATAGCCTGTTGTGAGACATTCATTTTAATCAGATGTTTGCCTCCTGTTCAAAATTTACTGGAAAACCAGTTGGCAACCAACATGGAAAAGGAACACATGGTTTTCTCCAGTACTTTGCAAACAGAAATACAGATGGATATAACTGCTTTTACTGAGCTTCACACTCCTTCAGATACTTCAACAGGAAGAAAGAAACCCACAATGTCTCTGGATAGAATAAACTGCTAATCTTTTGAAAGAGGGGTTAGGTAAAAGATGAAGACACAGTGCTGAGAAGGAAAACATTTCTATAATCAATACAAGTTATGCTTCAGGACATGAAGAGGATACTACTTCCTGCCACTTAATTCATTATAAACTTAGGACTTGTTACTACAGTACTGAGTTTTTCTCCTTACTTGGAAACATATGGCAGCCTGCATGAAGTATGTCACACACAGAACTCAACCACAGAATCAAACAGAATTAGAGTATTAATAATCTGTTAACTTTTTCACTATCAGAAGGACTGAACTAATGACTGAACTTCAATGGTCATGAATCTTTCTTTTACCTTAAGGTGACTATATTCAGACTCCTATGGTTTTGATTAGCACATTGGACTACTGCCTAAACTTTTTTTTCAGATCACCTCCCCCCCCCAATTATAACTTGTTGACAGGAAAGAGTTTACTGTTGATGTACAATAGTTGAAGTGGAAATAATCTTAAACTATAACTTGAATGAAATTTGAATCCAAATAATGTTGATTTGAATATCTTAGAATGTGCTATTTCTAATTCTGTGTGGTCTAATAACTCATTACAAACATTTCCATATTTTATATTAAAGATTACCATTTAGCTATCTCTCTAATTATTAATGTTGTGAAGTAAAAAATACACCACTGTCTTAATGCTTAATTACATTTCAATTTGAATTCATCTTATTTCACTGAAGTAATCTTCCTTGGAAATCATCTTGATTTCCCATTAAAGCACATTTGGATTTTAGCATCTTTTCCCTCAGGTGAAAAAAACCATTTAAGTATTACAAAATATTGGTGGCATTCATTGGCTAAATGACAGTAAATGAGAACTCTCTAGCTGAGCAAGAAACAGAAGTGCATAAGCATGTCAAGCTTTTGAAGAAAATGCTAAAGAAAAGAACTAACCAACAGGAACGATTCAAGATTTGGTTTCTAGTCACCACTCTGAACAGAGCAACCTTACAGGGCTTGAAGGGGCAATGTAGATTGAGAAGGAAAAGTTAACTCTCTCCTAATACTCCTAGAGAGAATATGATTACCTATTCAATCCAATTCTTTCCCTCATATAAACTCTTCCTCAGCCAAACTTTCTCTCTCCTGCCCGTCTGCCCTTCTTTCCCCTCTCATCTGCTACGAAAAATGACATTTGGAATGCAAAATTAAATTGCTTGTCAGATGTAGTATAGTCTTCTCCCTCCCTCTCTTTTTTTTTTTCTTAATACATTCACACATGGTTTAGCACAGTGAGGCAGAAAACAGGCCACTCAGGTTAAGGGATTAAAATTGAACAGTTTTTGTGATACTGGTTCCCATAGTAATAACTGCATTTTACATTTTTTCATGTTTGTTTAGCTCTTAGAAATTTATGCTCCTCTTCATCTGTACATTAAACAATTTAATTAAATACGTTACATGTGCTCCTTTCCTTTTTTCAATCAGTTTATACAAAACTCAGAAGGTGGTGACCACTGGAACAGGTTGCCCAAGGAGGCTGTGGATGCCCCATCCCTGGAGGCATTCAAGGCAAGGCTGGATGTGGCTCTGGGCAGCCTGGTCTAGTGGTTGGTGACCCTGCCCATGGCAGGGGGGTTGAAACTCGATGATCTTTGAGGTCCTTTTCAACCCAAGCCATTCTACGATTCTATGAAAACTAGTGCCAGCATTATGCATTCAATGTTCCGTCCAAATGGAAATTCTAAGAATTGTATGTGCATGGATGCACATACATAGCAGTAATCAGTATGAAAAGGAGCCTTGCATAAATGTTTAGAAGCAAGAGTTCGGATTATGGAAATATCTAGTTTTATACTTCTACTTCCCTATATTCTGATTAGAGAGGATGTCCACAGCCAAAACATTACTGACTACTGTCTAAATTTTTCAAAAAGACACCAGAGTTGTACAGACAGCCACTAGAAGAAATCTTTCTTAGAGATGCATTCCTCATCATGATTTACTTTTTCAGTTAAGAGCTAAAGTAACCTATTCATATAAATCTTTCAACTGTGTGTCTTCCCCATTTACACAATGAAATTGTTTCAGATTGATGTGTCATTTTATACAGAAACCAGAAAGAATTTCCTATGTTATTCACTACACTTATTTGTCTGTACTGAAAGAGACTTCTTCCTTTTTCAACTTATTAAATACTAATGAAAATGCAAACATTTATAAAAAACAAACAAAAGAAATCCAGCCAAACAACCAATCTAACTTCTGTTCCAGTGCTAACAAGCACTCTGAGTTCTCCTCAAACCCCAGTTGTTAATGTACAAGTCAAGAATCCCTATCTCACAGTAATATTACTGGAAATGATGGTTCTGCAGTAGACTCCTCTACGGTAACAAGGTTAGTGGGAAAACTCAGTATCAATATGGGCCACCTTGGTCACTAGCACAGGTCAGCTCTAGGGATTAATTCTACATGTGCTGTGATGTAATAGGGCTTTCATCAAAGTAAAAAAAAAAAAAAAAAAATCTGTAAGATTTTATGCTTCCTATTAAAAAATTTGATGCTTGCTTAAAAATAATCTCAGAAATGTTGCTTCTTTACCATCCAGAAATGCAAATAACCCTTAAGTATGTTCCTCATTTGCTGTTAAATCTTACTTCTGAAATCAAACATTTTTCATTCATTCAAGATCAACAAATTTGTTTTGTCCAGTCATATGAAAGTTGATATATGAAAAATCAATCCCAACATGTGGAGTAACATTTGTCACTGTAAGAACATCCAAGAGCGAATATAACAAATGAAGGACAATTATTTAAGACAAAGGACAATGCTAACGCAAGTACAGGCTGGCTTTGTAAAAACTTGCAGTGAAAATCAGATCCTTAACTATTATAAGAAGAATGGTGTCCTAGACCAATGATGTTCTGAAACTTGCTAAACACATGGAAAGAGATGAATTTTCTAGCAGTCCCTACAAGATAATTCTGTATTTGTAACAAAAAGCTGTATTTGAAGCCGATCAGTGGTCTTTCCCATACACTTCATTACAGGGCTTCTGTAATTAGAATTATTTTCTTACATTTAGAAATAAACTTTTATACCTGTCAGATCTTCTTTGGAGGAAACCAGTCGAGGAGAGCTGTTACCTGGCTCAATTCTTAATGATAATCTGAAAAAACAAATTTTTTAGACAAATTAAAAATACCATTTCTCAATAAAAGCTGAAATAAACTTATCAAAGCAATTATTTTGGCACTGGTAAGCAGCAATTTTACTTTGCTGGAAATGTAATTTATTTGGAAATCCTGGAAACATTTATTTAATAAACCCATCACAAAATGGTCTGACTGGTCATGCCCATGTAAGCATTTAGCTTTTCCTTTATATAATGATGCAGTTTTCAATGCATTCCTTGTGAAATTCAGGCAAGGACATTCTCATATTTCTTTCAGTGACCACAGTATTTGACAAAACCAAAAAAGATCTACTTCCACACAATTATCTGTTTTTCTTGAGGAGAAAAAAAGGAGGAAGATAAGGCAGAAAGGAAGACCTAGGTTTCTAATAAGGTTCTAGAAAGAGGTATGGTATCTTTATACAATCTAGAAAGGATCAGTGGAGTGTACTTAGCTTAAAAGTTCACTGAAATAGCAATGGTTTTCAGTGATACCAAATGAGATTACATGACTCCCAACTTGTTACATCCTCAGAAAACATAAAGATTGATGATTTTGTTTATCTGTTTAGTTAAGTTAAAGTACACTCTGAAATCTTCAGCCCTTGTGAAGTTTGACTGTTTGGTCATTAACTTCATTAATGAGAGAATTCTGCAATTTTTTCAGAATAAAAAAGAATGGAATTTAGCTATTCATAATATGAAAAATGAGTATGTGTTAGAATAATGATAATAAAAACCTAAATTTGAGCTTTGGTAAATACAAAATACTCATATTTACATGTCTAACATAAATTATTTTTAAAAAGAGGATACATTCTGACAATGAGTTATCACTCCTGGTCTTCTCCCATCCCTCTCTCCCCTACAAGGCTGAAAACAATTTAAGATTTTTATTTCATAGGAGATATACTGACAGTCAGGACAGCTTCCAACAGCCTTGACTTATTTGTCACCATCCAAATTAATTTCTGGTGTTCCTCTGACACTCTATTTTCCACAGAGAGGCACTGGTTATCTATATACACATATGTGTTCAACTACTCTCATCTGGATATGTACGTATACAGTTATGCCAGCAGTGTAAGCAATCTCTTTCAAATAGTACTCACAGAGACAGAATCTTTGGCACCTCACATGCTTAGTGTTACACTACCAATAGGTCGATACAAGCTTTGACAACTGATGTATTTACCAACAAACAACACTCATATCCATCACAGAGCAAATTACAGTCTTCCAGTTTACTGCTCCCAGTCACAGATAGATAGAACTGCCAAGGTTGGAAAAGACCTCAGATCATCTGGTCTAGCATTTCATGGAAAAGGGTGTCTAGACAAGAATACCTAGCACTCTGTTCCATCTCATCTTGAAAACCTCCAGCAAGGGGGATTCCTCTTGGATACTTTTATATAGATCCTGCCTAGCTGAATCAAAGTTTGAACTGCTTTTTATGGAAATTGTCTTATGTAGTATATTGGAATACCAATGTTTTGTAAATATGCTCTAAATAATTGAATTATTTTTACAGTGTCCAGGTGACACTGCAATACAAACAAGTCTTCACTCTGTTTAATCAATAATGTATATTGTTTAATCAATAATGTATATTAACAAAAACACATTCAGAAAGACATACACTAACAAAAATATGTCTAGCCCTAATACACATGCTGCCAGCTCTGCCACTTAAACTTGCCACTTTGAAAATTCAAATATTAAAGCTGATGCTGTAAATGCACTGTTTTACTACTGAGAGAAATGGCAGAAGCTTTAATGTCTCATTTCAGCTAGAAGGGCCAAATCCTGAAATGCTTATACATGCAAACTCTTCTGGAATTAAAACATGTCCTGAATAGCACTTGAATTCTAGGACTGGATTTCTTTATGGCTGTCAATAAGGCACAGTCTTAGTTATGTCTCCTTTTTATAGATGTCCTTGATTACAGTAAAGTAACTCTGAGGAAAGAACAGGGCTAGAAGATTAAGTAATAAGGTGAAAGGAGAAAACTTGCCTATTTGTCCAATCAAGGACCAAGGATAACCACAAAACCATTACATCAGGCCTGATGTAATGATTCTGAAAGTTCAGCAAAAAGAATTGCTCTGGAATCACTGCAAACTTGTTTGAATACTGCTGTCTAGCTCAGGGAAAAAGTGCATACCTGAGGACAAGCAGTCTCCTCACATCACTTCTAATGCTCTTAGAGGAGGAAGAAGATTCTGCAGCAGTTGCATCATGGTATTTTTCAAGCCTGCTGATTTTTGGTGATTTCCTGCGGAAACTATGATTATCAATATATAACTGACATATATGCATATAACTGTAAGGAATCCTGGTGCTTTGGTTCCTATTTTTGCCCCCTTAGTCATGTAACCAGCAAACAATGTCGATTTCTTATCTTCTGTGGAGAACTGTATATGGGCTAAGCAAAAAAAAAATCTCTGATTTATAGGATATGACATCACTGTTAGGGGTTTTCTGGAGTAAGCCTACTTGCTGACAAGCACAAACCTAAAGCAAGCAATTGGACTGGCACAAAAATTGTAGAGAAAAGCTTTGTTTATATAAAGTGGCTGCCAAATTCTTCTTCTCAGTGTAACTGAAGTTCTCATTCGGTGAAACGTGTGTTGGGATCCTGCCAATACATTTTAGGGCAACTATCTAAGCTTCTCTCCAGGACAGCCTGGTTGTAAGACAGTTATGTTCTTCCTGCCAAAAATCAAGGATAGATCTCTTTAGAGTACACAAATGCTGTCTCTAGCTCAAAATGAGAGCTCACCAAAAAAGAGGAGGTAGAAAATTCTTTTCCATTATAAAACCTTAGTGCTCAGTCTTTTTAAGGCCTTCAGTTTCTTCTGGCATGAGAGCAGAAAATGCTATGAAGAGAGAAATGCTAGGGACAATGGAGAGGAAATATGAAATCAAATACTCAAGAAAATCCAGAAAATTCTTACCAAAATACACAGACAGAAGAGGAACAGGAGATCTCTTTAAGGGCAGATGCGATGATTTTTGACAAATGCAGACACTAATTTAAAACTTTATTTAGATGAAACAACATGGCAGAATAAAGTAAAGGTCCTCCAATACAAAGAAACGCATACCAACTGCAGCAGCATTTCCACTAAGAATCAAATCTTTCTTTCTTTTTAATACCTCATGATATCAATCCAGTTTTTCCTAGTCAAGCCTAGAAAGAAAACTGCTAAATTTGATAGAAATATTTTCTTGAACTTAAAAACGTACAAACAAAAGTACTTAATAACCTGTAAGATACATCAGTTATGTCACACATGTTCCAGCATTATCAGCAAGACTGCTACTAATATTAAAATTATTTTCAAATTTAAACTGGAATTCTCATGACTTGAAGTTTCTACAAATATTATGTTATGGAACAATAAGCACATAGAAACTACTTGATTAATCAATTTTTACCACGATATTAAAGTTAATGAAATTCCTTGTATACACAGTGTTAACACTGATACACGTGAAGAAAATCCATCTAAAAAATCAAGGAAGCAATGTAACCAGTTTCTTGCATGCAGTCCAGGAGATTTAAATCACAGACTATAGTTAATATGCATCTTGAACTGCCTGACCTTTTCACAAAGCTGTGCACAATGTACATGCTCAGTGTGCCTCTGCTGTATAATGCATTTTTATTCATTACACATATACAGTATCACGAGAGTGAAGGAGAGAATGTTTGCTTTCTACCATCAGTACTCTGGTAGGATTCTAACTCTGCAAAGCCAGTAATGTTTGCTTTGAAAACATCATACTACTTTTGTTCCAAGTCATTTTCCTACAGAAACGTCTTTATTCTTAGTAACTGTGAATAATTGAACACAAAAGCACATACCCATGAAAACTACGGCCAAGCATGTATTTTGCAGTGAACTACCCAATGCTAGTTCAGATTCTTTTACTGAAATTTGCTGGGGTTTACCACTTAAGCAAGGGGACAAATTTTGGAACATTGTCACTCCATTTAACTTATGTGATAATACTCAGAGCAGCTGTTGTATCACTTCAAAAAAAATTGCATTTTCTGAATGGTTTCACTTTTAGAATTATTCTCTCTGGAAAAGCAAAGTCCTGCAAACATTTATCCCAAGAATCTACAGAACTGCCTGAGGAATAGTACTGTATTTGCAATGGTTTGAACCAGAGCTAAGTAGAAGAGCTTTGACAACGAGATTTATCAACAAATATAACAATGTTCAAGAACAAACAGGAAGTGAAATAACTTGTCTCATGCTATACACGAGTATTCTGAAGTTTTTTTTGGTCTCTACTATGGCAATAACATTTTCAACCTCAGTAGGATGTTGTATTTGTAAGACAGCAACGTCAGCTATGTCTGCACAGAAGCAGAATGGCTACAGTAGGTCATCCTTTATGCTGATATATGCCTGACACTGAGAACTGTATAAGGATATATAAGAACTTCAAAAAGGTGAGCAGGACTAGGGAAGTAATCCTGCCTCTATACTCAGCACTGGTGAGGCCCCCCCTCGAATACTGTGCTCAGTTTTGGGCACCTCAGTACAGAAAGGACATTGAGGTGCTGGAGCAGGTCCAAAGAAGGGCAACAAGGCTAGGGAAGGGCTTGGAGAATATGCCCTACGAGGAGCGACTGAAGGAACTGGGGCTGTTTAGTCTGGGGAAGAAGAGATTGAGGGGAGACCTTATTGCTCTCTTCAAATACCTGAAAGGTGATCGCAGTGAGAGAGGGGTTGGTCTCTTCTCACTGGTGACAGGATGATTAGTCTGCTCTTCTGCCTTCACAGATGCCAACTGGTCATATTCACTGCATTAACTGATTAGGTTTAAGTTTAAACTTATTTAACTATTTGTCTCTTTCCTCCACATAAGAAGCCATTCCAGAATTCCATTACTCTGATAGTGACACCGCACTTCAACATTTACAATTTTTTAAATTAATTCATCCTTGTGATACCATTCACCCTACTGTATTTATATACTGTGATTCCAAAAACGAAAGTTCTGTTTTTCCAGGCTTTCCTTAAATCTGTTGTTCTTTATTCTCGTCAACATGATGATATTATTGTTGACATTCCACGCAGATGTCCAGAAATTCATAGAGAACACCACGTAATGTATCACTAGCTTCCTTGTGAAACCGTATTAACAATTTGAGTCAAGGTATCAGCTGCAGTACTTAACTCCAGTAACAAGGCCAGTTTCAATAAACATAACCCTTATCTCTAAAACATATTTTACAATCTTCCATACCAACTGTACGAGAACCATTAGGTCACAGCCTAAACCAGTGAATGAGAACCTGGTAAAGGGATGTAGCCAGCCCTGGGAGCACAGGTGAAGCAACTCACCTGTGTGACCAGACCCTGGGTCCATCCCTTCCTAACTACATTAAAGAGAAGCATCTCTACTCAGAGATCATCTCCTTTGGATTATTTGGTGAGCCCTGATCCTCAGATGGAGAAGGGGTAAGGGTTTCCTTCTTTATTACAGATTGTGACCTCTACCATTCTTGGGTGATCTGAAACTGGTTTAAAGCAGCCATATCTGCTACTGCTTATCCATACACCACTGTTATATTACCAAACATGTGGTCACTTCAAACACTTAATTCTGCTCAACTAAACAGAGGTACTCTATTTATCAATAGGTAATCACATAGCATTGCAGCTGTCTTGATTGAGTTACTTAAAACCTAAGCTGTAAGGTTTTAAAACCAACACACTTTATATTGTCTACTTTATATCACTGCATTAGTCGTCTCTCTCACAAACCCCATAAACTTCCAAGTTAATATCTGAAGTACTAGCTTAATAAAAAGAGTGATTTGTATTTGGGAGATGTCTTTTATGTAATACTTACAATAGCATAGAGTAAATCCTGGACATCTTAAGAGATGGCTTCGGTGTTCCTGAACAAAATTCCCAGAATATAATCATTATGTAGCGGAATGCATCTGCTTTTAAAAAGCTATTTCATTTTGGAAATCTAGCTACAGTCAGTAAGGGCAAAAATCATTCTGAATATTAATTAGGCATCTTGGTATTATCAACTCTGATAACATGATATGAAGTACTCCAGACAAACCCCACAGCATCTTCTGTCAACAGCTTCTTGTTCAAACACAAATCAAACTAACATCTGTATGCCGTTTCCTTTAAATTTTCCAACACTAAATTAAAAAGAATAGTACTTACTTATAATTGTCATCTTCCACAAATTTCTGAAGTTCCTCGATGTAACGGACAGACTTCAAATACTTCTGTACATGGGGTAGTGTTGTAAGATGTTCTATAAAGTGTTAAAACAAGATGAATATTCACATAATCCACAATAAATTATTCCCGTTTTTTTTTTTTTTTTTTTTTTTCCTCTTGACTCTCATGATTATCTTAATGGAAAGAGAGGATGTGAACTTCCCTATAGAATAAATAAGGCAGACTTATTACTTTGACTCTAAGAGGTCTTTAAAGATTTGATTGAGCAGAAGTGATGCTCAATTATTAAAGAAAACAGATCAGATGCATGCCATTATCATAGCATCTAGAGGATTTTATCATATGCTATTTCACTAGTGGAAAAGAGTTCCTTTTATGTAAGCCCTGCTTGGATTTTATACTGATTGTTTTGGGAGAAATTGAAGCCTGCAGCAATGGCTATTATTGATTCTCATGTGCATGAGGTAAGAAAACTTCAAAAATTATGATGCTGCATATCAGGATAAAAATATGCTAAATTCAGAAAGACAGAAAAATCCTTTGAGGGTACGGTGCATGAACAGGAACACATCTCGTAATATCTGAATGAACTCTAACACTCTCATAAATACAAGTGTCATAAAGGTCCGTAAGATTGGTTCTTCAAGGCCATGTTTTAATTTTCATTCTGATTTTAACAAAAGCAGTTAAAATTAATGCAATGTAGGAAGTTGCCCCACTGCCAAAAGGAAAGGGTCAGTAAGATTTCTTTTGTCAAAGTATTCGGAGACAAGCTGAAAGTCACAATAAGAATATGAAAGGTAAATACCCTACCACTTCAGAATCATACACTATTATGCCTAATCCATAGCTTTAAATATCTTATATCAAAATCTACAACAAAGAACAAGGGCTGGGTACTTAAACATACACAATATCTCACCTAACTTTCTCATAATCTAAGATCTAACCTTTTTTTTTTTTTTTTTTTTTTTTAATTAAAAACATTCCCAAACTAGAGCATTTAAATGTTCTGAATTTATTTAGTTATACAGCTACATCAAGTTTTTTAGCTTGTTCCATGTATAAGCAATGAAAATTCATGGTAAATCATCAGTAGTATGCTCTGTATTCATCAAGACCCCCAAAGCAGCACGTTTCTTGACATGAGGCTTTGCATAACAGGCTAGAATTGCAGAAATGAATTTTAGAGCACAATTCTGTTAACAAACAGAAGTAACATAATCTTCCTCACTAAGTGAGGTATAAGAAAAAGTTTAATAGAGAATTTAACAGCTGTTGTATTGAAATATTTGTATTTAATTCTGTAAACTTTTCATCATGACACAACAAAATGATTATAAAATTGACATATTGCACACTCCAAAAACATCGTATCTACGAGAAAGGAAAGATGTATTTCCCACTTACTGCTGGTACTGTCAGCTGTACTTGGAAATATGTCATTTGTAGCCCATTTTCAGCAGTAAATGCCACACAATTCTGTTACAGTTCTTACAGTTTAGGATATATGCTCATTTGCCTAATTGTGTCCAATTCCAACTCTACCTATCTTGTCCTCTTGCGCTGCCTTTACATAGGTTAGAAACCGCTTATCATGTTATTAAAGACACTTTAGTTAAGACTTAATAGGAGTAAAAAATAAAATATTACCAACCATAGTTACAGGAGACTTGCAGATCAGCTATTATTCGGAGAATATTGTTCATTTGATTGGATCTTTGTTCATTTTCCATAATGCTGCCTGAAGCAGGATATGCAGAATCAATGTAGATTAAGTCGAAGAGATAAATTCCTGAAACAAACAAATCAATCAATCTGGTGTTTCATATAGAAAAAGTTGCACAGTTATTAATAAGCAAAATGGCCAGCAACTATTGACCACCACTATCGTCTAGGTTCATTAAATAAAGGATTCATGAGTTCAAACATGTCATAGCTTGTGTTATAATTCTATAGTATGTCTTTAGAAAAGGGACAGAACAGGTTTTGCTTTTGTGCACTTCTGTAGACTGATGTCTACTATGAAAAATTTGCAGAGCCATAACCAGTGAATATGAGAACTTAGCATTTTTGGCTTTTCAGTATATCCCTTATCATGTGTAAGCAATCTACCGCCAACATTTTCTGGTGTAAGTAAGAGCACTACTGGTATCTTCTTGTTTATTTACAGTTAGTTTCCATTCCATCTTTCAAATTCAGCTAAGAACTTCCTCTGGAATGCATGATAAAATCATAGCTCTGTGGAAGAACTGCATTGCAATCTGTAAGAATAGCACTGAAATGTGCTGCAACTCACACATGCAGGGCTGTCTCAGACACAGAACCTGCCTGTGCAGCCTTGCATGGTGAGTAGGACAAGCATCTTATCCTTTCCACGGCAGTTTTTCAGAAACATCTACGTTCAAATAGGCTGAACAGAAATTACCACATGCACTTCATTCAGATATCACTGCAGCTATTACTACTGTGTGTCAAAAACATTACCTCAGTCTGACTTTTCTTTAAAGGATTGTTCTGACATTTAAAGCCAGCTAAAAGTAAAAAGTTAAACTAATATATTCCTAAACTATTATAAGATGACTAGAGAAGTTTGTGCTTCTTTTTTGCATAACAAAGAAAGGAATATTCTTTTCAACAGGAAAATAACTTGTGCAGCATAAAAATCTGCCATATTTCCATATCACATTTTCCATATCAGATTTTCCACACTCTTTCTTGAGCATGTATATAATTAATGACTTTTTTCCCTCTCATGTTTTCTTGCCCTGCTTCAAAAAGAGCACTCTTACTGTTTCAGGAAAAGAGCTAGCTGGCTCAGTTACTCTTCCAGCTTCAGCACATTACATTCTCTCAATAAATTCCAGCTATTAAAGCAACAGGAAATGCAATTGTGCTAGTCAAGCAGAATTTTCTCAAAATTTTGGAAAGCCACTACAATAAATTGAATGGAGCACCTCTAAGCAACACACTCCTTTCTGAAACAACTTTAGTATGCTTGCATTAATTACTAATAATCTTTGGAAGTGTATTAAGTGCGTGCAGTGAAAACAAATTATTTTTCATGTTATCTCCTGGTAGTAAGTATGCCTCAAACTTACTCATTCAAAAAAAAAAAAAAAAAAAAAAAAAAAAAAAAAAAGATTTCCATTTGGGAAAATACAAATTCTTACCTGAAATCAAAACATAATTATGTGTTCTCTAGTGCTCAGTTACGTACTACTACTATCATCTACAGCAGTAAGTTACAAATCAGCAGCAAGAGTCAATGGAATTCAAGGAAAGCCATGTGGCTTACTGAAGTTTGCTCCTTCACGGTTCATGAAAAACAGCTCAGGAAATTTGTTAGATTTACACAAATACTAAGTATCTGCAGAAGCACAATCTCCTTCAATGTTGAGTTCACCTGACGCTGCATTAACATGTAGTTTTATAGTTCAGATTCAGACTTGCTGTGGAATTCTACATATCTCAAGAACTATCTGCATGATCTGCACTAACTTTTCTCTGTCACTTAGGAATAGAATCACAGAGTGGTTTGAGTTGGAAGGGATCTTTAAGATCATCTAGTTCCAGCCCCCCTGCTATAGCAGGGACACCTCCCTCTAGACTAGGTTGCCTTCAGCCTCATCCAGCCTGGCCTTGAATGCTTCCAGGAAGAAGGCATTTACAGCTTCTCTGGGCAACCTGTTCCAGTGTCTTTATGGAGATCTTTACAAGAATTTTTCTCACTAGCTTGCTCTTTATCTGATTTTGCAGATATCTGACAAGCTGATAAGTAAGGAGTTCACTGCGTCACAGATTGGATTTTGTCCAGCATCAGCCAGGTTGTAAGCGTCTACCTTATTTCTTTCATTTAAGCCTATCTGTGCATGTATTCTGGAAAATCCTTCCATTGCTTAGGGAGTAGTAAGTAAACAAATTATACAAACTATCATAGAAAAATGAAGAAATAGACACAGAAGCAGTGAAAAGCGGTAACAAATTCAATTCATTCTGAACTATCAACGTTTTGCTGAGAAAACATAAGGCTATAACTAAACTGTCGCCCAATCTTACACAGACTATCCAGTATGGGCTAGAGAAGACTGCATCTTTATGTGTTCTGCCCGTGAATCAGTAAAAAGTGCTCCAATGGACACTGTTAATTTCAGAATCTCACCAGAAAAAAAAAAAAAAAAAAAAAAAAAAAAAAAAAAAAAGATGTTTAATCCTTATAAATGAGTGGAATATAGTTGGATTAACAACACGTAAACCAACTGGCATTACCTCTCTAGAGTAGAAAAAAAGATAAAAGATGCTTAGAAATCAGGTCAAGTTTTACAGTCTAGTTTAGCTTCCTTCACTGGCTCAGAAAAATCTTAAAATATTTCTTCCCATGTCAAAACTGCTCTCTCCTGAGGAGATAATAATTCTTACAGATACACTTGCAGTTTATGAAGTGGAGACTCATATGACTCGGACTACCTTAACACTTCAAGTTTATAAGAAATCTGGGGTATTTACTACTTGCTAAAAAACATCCTGAATTTGTTGTCAGTTTTCACTTCTACGTATTTCTACCTCTAGAATGACAGAACTCGGTACCATTATTGAAAACCTACCTGACTATTAAATGACAGTCAGTGGAAGAGGGAGTGACTGAGTTTGCTCTTTACATTTGAAGTATTGTCCTATTAATTAACTTACAGCAGCGCATGTCATCTGTCTACACACTTGCAAACTGAAAAATAAAATTTTCACTTAAGAAAATTAGGTGAATAGGCCAACATAGTTACTTTTGTATTTTTACTGTGGGTAGTAATTTAAATCTAAAAGATCACAGTTAATTCCCCAGTATACTATCTACTGGTAACTATAAAGGAGTCATTGCTGCTGGCAAGTGGTGCTTGCTGCCATCTTAACATGACATTAGAAACAAACAGTATTACTCTTTCCACTTAGCATTCCTGAAGTTTTACCTAATTTCCACATCTCTCTATCTCTCCAGCTTTGCAGGAAAACTAGCAGTCTCTGCTAAATCTGTCAGTGAACTGAATGTACATCTACTCTATAAATATCCTATTAAATGACATGAACTTGACTGTTTTAAAAAAATAACCTAGAATAAATCACCTCTCCACAGGGCACAGTGTGGGTTCTCCCTCGCACGGTCTGACTACAGCCTGTCCCCGCTTCTGTATGCATTCACTGTGAACTCCTATATACATTATGTGATGATAGGGATAGATAAGAATCAATTTATTTTGCTCAGAGAAAACACAAAATCATTCCTCTCAGCAAAAGACTTCAAGACCAGCCTCTGAAAGGAAAGACTCAGATTTGCACTATGCCAAAGAAAACACAAACCACTAGCTTTTCAAACGTTGGCTTATATTTGTGCTACCGTGCACAGAAAAGGCTTTCAAAGATGTGAAACCATCGGGATATTTTCCAGAGGGTGAGCTCATGGGCAGCTGCTTCCACAGGCAAAACATTTTCCAGTGATATTGACATTTCTCCATTGTTACTAAAATCAATTTCGCAGCTGGTTATTGCATGTGAATACTATATTCATTAGTTTATGGCATCATGGAAATAATGACACAGGAAAAGCATGGCTGAATAATCTATAATTAAATTCATCAATAGAAATTACAGCATGTAAAGAAGAGAGATTATTTTTAAATGACAAAAAAAGAACTACAATACCTAGCTCTTAAATTTATACTCTAGAGCTCAGTCAAAGCAGTAATATTACCAACAGTTTAAACACAGAAAAACTGAAATACAACACAAAACAGAAAAGCGAACTTGAAATGTAGGAGTCAGTGCAACCAGATCATACATTTTGAGCATTCCATCTACTAGAGAGCAACTTCCAAAGTTAAGTTTTTTTTTAAAAGTCTTTTCCCACATACAGTATTGAAGTTCTACCATACTAAGTAAAGCAGGGGGCAGAGAGAAACTACTTATCAATTGAGTAACTGGTTGAAAGTCAAAATCACTATAGTCAGCAGTCTGTAAAACCAAAGACGCCATTCTTAGCAGACTAGCTCATAGTCAGAGAAAAGACTACAGTTTTGTGGTATCACTGGTTTCACAAAATTTGGACATTTTCCACTGACTATGGGCTGGAATATTTTTCTATATAACCAAAGTTATATACTGGTTAGTCTTGTTAGGACTTGGAATACTCTAAGAAACTGAACATGCATCTTTTCCAAGGCAACAACATGCACTTTGTAATAGATATTGCCAGCCTAGTGGCCAAACAAATATGATCACTTAGAGGAAAGTAAGGGTAGGATTAAGACCAGTTTCATTTATTTCTATCTGATGCCAGTTAGCCAGAACACTCACATACACCAATGCATACTATAAGGTTGTCAAAAGGACAAAAAGCTTTATCAGAGAAAATATTTATATTATTTTTACTTTAACAGTTCCAAATTCTGAAACATTCCCAAGAAATACTGACTTTTGGCACTTCTTACAATGTATCACATGCTTTGACAGCAATTTCTGATCCCTGCCCAACTGGTTTTCCTTCTTCGATCTCTTGTTGAGAAATCTCTATAAGCCAAATGGGGTTCAGATCCACATGAAGCAGCACTGCACACTTGACTCACCTATGACACATACCACTTATGACCCCACGTTCGTTTGCCACTATGTCTGCATTCTTACTCAACCTTCTCATTTTACCTGTACATTATAGCTGTAGCTTTTTTTTTTTTTTTTTTAATTAACCTCAGAATGTTTGATTTTTTTTTCCTCTTTGCAGAGTATCCCTGTTATTGTGATCTAATAATT